AAAAAAAATTAGTTGAGTGAACTTTGCCAAAAAAATGCAGATCTGCGCACGCCAAGTACAATTTACCTACTTACAATATTAGGCAGACAATAAATAAATAATATTATTTGGATACAGACTATTAATGCTATTTAAAAAAAATTAGTTGAGTGAACTTTGCCAAAAAAATGAAATCTGAAAAAAATATTAACATAATTTAATTGTTCACTAATACTTACATCTGTTGCAATTTTAGTAATTTATATTCAAAAAAATCCAAAGCATTTGATGTAGGAGAATTCAGATTTTGGGCTGCGTTTTTACTTTCATAACACTTTTTAGAATTTTTTAGAATCCATATTAAATTCCGACGGAAAATTCTTGTGTATAAATTTCATACGAATACTGTCCTAGAAATAATAAATTGAAACATTTTTACCTAATTTATTTTAAAACAATGAAAACTATAAGGATTAAGAGAATATAATAATTAAAAGTCAAGGCAAATTGTTTAATTTTTATCRATAGACCTATTGTTGACCTTTAATTTAACGTGGGTTAACGTTTATTATTATTATTTTTTTTTTTTGTTAATTATTAAAAAGCTCAAAGAATTTATCTTAAAATATGCTTACCAGTTTCTTTTGAATTTCAGCGTCAAGATGTCCTCTGTGTTTTTCTTTTTTTAACGATTTTCTTTCAGTCRACGTTTTTAATTTTTTTTGATGAAGTATCTTTCGACGATATTCTGCCATTTCACTCATTGATTTTTGAATGTCAGCACACTTTTCATCAACAGTTTTTTCTTTTGCTGGTGTAACCTCAATTTGTTCCACTATTTTTTTAGTGAACAATAGTAGGTTAACTTCATCAGATAACTCATTCTCTGATTTTTCTTTAATAAATGAAGTATCTGAAGTATCTGCAGTTCCTTGTTGCTCTAATTTGATGATTTTTAGTGGAGGCTGAAACGATGATGGAAATACTGGAATAGCATTTTCTTGTTTACAAACGTAACCATAAAAACATTTTTTTGGTTTTTGATTATCAGTATTTATAAAGTATTCACTGCGTAGTTTACTATGTTTTGTTGGATCAAACTCAGTTTTTGAAACCGGAAGCCATCTYGACAGTTTTTCTGTATGTTTTCTGAAAGCAAAACGCATTACATTTATTATTACTGTCTAAGTAAATAATGGAGTCGGTGTTATTAACTTACGAAAAACAATTGAAGTCACGATCCGTCGTTTTTATACCGTCACAATTAATGTTAGAACTTGTTTGATCCATTATTGTAGTATCAATTGATTCAATTCGAACACAAAAATTAACAACTAGATGTTAGAATCAAAAGAAAGTAATAAGTACCTATCTTAAGTATCTATATTAACGAGAACATACAGTCAACTTACCTATTTAATATACTGGGTAACGAACTAATGAAAAGCTCGAAAGTAGTAATGTCAATGTCAAATTCTCAAACAAACAAACACTATTTCGTTTGAATGTTAGGTTAGGAAGTTCTTAAAATTTGATCAATAAATATGCCATAATAATAGACATCGATAAAGTTATAACAATCGATAAAATATATATCGATGGTAACTATCGATTATTTTTACTATTGTTTTCATCACGAATAGGTACTATACTATATTATAGTAGTAAGCACGGACGTCGTATATACACGTCCGTGGTAATAAGTTACATAATTAAATCGAAACTGTATAACGAAAWGTCTGATTAAAAATGTACTGACTACTAGCACTATCTAGTGATGTGACTTAATTTTTAGTTATTTTAAATTTTTTGTAATTGTAATTTGTAAATTATAATAGTCRGGTGAATGAAAAGTGGCCGCTGATGCCCACGCACCTAGCGGTGAATTTTCATCATTGTACCGCAAAATTATGGAAAAAAGCGCGCGCATTTTGAATTATTAATCATTATTATCGCATTTTACGTGATTCACTTTGAGAACCCATGGCTTATCGAAAAAAAAAAGGTTCCTATCATATTGYCAGCGGCCACTTTTCATTCACCCGACTATAGGTGTGTTAGGGCATAGATAGAAAGTAGACAACGATTTATAAGAAAATATACTTAAACAGGCCGTAACCCGATTGAGCATAGTTTACCTTTTTCACTACCCAATATCCAATTGAGCACAGTTACAATTAAACAATAGAAATACGAAATATAACACGATTGAGCATAGAAATACGTACAACATTGACGTACCACATAGCTACATAATAGTTTAAAAAAAAAAATCGAAATATTTATAGGAATTAATTTAAAGTAATAATTATTGCACAAGATATAATTTTTAATATATATTTTTTTTTTAATAAAAATGTATGTAAAAAAAAGAATATAGAATAAAATAAAAATTACATAATATAATAAATAATAATTATTGTCCTATACAGATTAGTCTAAAAGTTAATTTATATTTATTTTAATATTTGTTTTATGTTATACAAATTAAATTATCTGTCAATGTTTAAAGTGGCATCCCTAAATACTTATTTCCCACTTTTAATAAATATTTTAGTAAATCTTTAGAATTTTTATTTCTTAAATATTCATCGTAAGCCATTATAGTTGAATTAATTTTTTGCATTTCAATAAAACTCATACCTATTTTTATGACAGTCAGCTAAATTTCCATCATAGTTTCAGTTTGAAATTCTTGTAAAACTATAAGTACCAAGTGTATGTGTGGGTGAGACTTGTAGAATTGTGAATTGTAAGTTCTATGAAAACTTTCAACAGCGTTTGTCGTTCTAAAAAAACACGTTTCATAGAAATTAAATTAACATTTTTTTATATTTAATAAATAGATTTTAGATAATCTACCTTCGATTAAACATAGTTTCTTTAACCCATATATTTGGGAGAAATGGAGATTCGTCATCTATATGATTATTAAAAATATGAGTTCGACGAATGCATCGGCTACTTCATGACTGAAAACAAAAGCTAACCAAAAAAAACTCTTTAGCCAATTTCCTAGTTCATTGTTTCTTTTTTATAGACTATTCTGAGAATAGAATCACTGTTTATCTATAATAATTAAGAATACAATTAATGTATGATTATTTGATTTGAAATTATTTTTTACTTACTTTTCGCCACCATGATTGTCCTAAATGAAACCGACAAGCTATTAATTGTACATTTTCAAAAACTCCATACGCAGCTTGATGATGAGTAGCCTTATTTCAAAGTCGACGTGTAATTTTTTTAATATGAACTGACTTCCTGTATATTCTATGTATACATATGTCTTGTATATATGTTTTTATGTGTATCTTTTGACTTTTCAAATAAAAAAAAATAAACCAACGGCAAATAATAACCATTTTTATATCCGTGAATAGTATAATATAGTTTTTTTTAAATATTTGGGTGCGTAATTAAATGTACCATCGGAAAAAAATCAATACAATCATGTTTAATCATAAATTTTAAGTTGAAATCACAAATAATACATACAAAACTAACTATTGTCAACCAATAGGTTGGATTATTATCGGTAGATTTGGATCAGTATTTTGGTTTGTTCTTATCGACTTATCGGGCAGTCACTTATTATTTGATTGAAGTGTTTATCATATAACGTCATAATAGATAGATATGACATTTTAGTATTTTACCTATAATATGGGCTAATTCTCGTAAAATTAACTATTTAGTAACCGCGAATCGCTTGTATAGTGCAGTTGGCTGCATACTAATTGCGGTCATGACGATTTTTGAGATAAACAGATATAACAGTTGTAGTCACGCCAATTTAGGTAATATCTTAATTGCGGTCATAGTTTTATTACTATACTCCAATTCCAGGCAAAATTTATACTATACGATAAACATATTTTTCGATATAATGTACACAGCGTTTATAAATAAAATAGATTAAATTGTATACTCCGATCATAGWTTAGAATATTCGAATAATTTAAACATAAGTATCAACATTTTTAATCATACCTACACATTAAATAATAGTGTGTAGACAGTCCTAAGTATGTTATATTTTCGATATAAATGGGAAGGAAAATGTTGATTGATACATTTTTCTAAATTAAATAAATAAACGAAATATTAATTTCATATTTAATTATTATATAAACTATATTATATTATATTATTTATTATACTTAATTATTATTATTTGAGTGACCGCAACTAATATGTAACCTTTTTGATGGGTGACCGCAACTAGTACACACCGGTGCAGTTATATTTCGAATATGGAAAAGTTTAATGCAGATTTAAATGATTTGTTAAAAAAAAGGTTCAAATACTTAATTTTTGAAAAAGCTTAAATATGATGAACTATAATTTCGCATATAATTCAACTTATGAATAATTTTTAAAAAAGGAACMGAATGATTATAAACTTTTTAAAAAAATACGACGTGTTAAAAGTTGCTGATGTTAACAAGTTAATTGTACCAGTATCTGAAAATTACGAAATTAAATATTATGTACAGGATATTATACACGATGTTTATTTATCAATTGGACACGGTGGTTGGAACAGAATGGAACACGAGGACGAGGTGTTTATATTATAAATGTAATCTATGACTACACTGAATTTAAATTTGAAACTACATTCTTATAATTTTATAATCCATGGTAAAAAATATATTTCTTCCATGGAAATCATAAAGTATTCGCTATTGTTTACTAATGATTCCGGCTCTCCGACCTCTCTCACTATCGTTCTCTCTCTGAGTAGTCTGAGTTGACACTGCACGGTCCATACTCCATATCTTTATAGGTACCGAAAACAAAAGGTTTACTAAAAATCTTGTTGATGATACATTTTATATTAAAACTGACGTTGTTTGCTAGAACCAAATACTTTTTACTAATGTAAGTATAATTTTAATTATATATATTATTATACTAATATATTTTGTTCTGTGTAGCATTGCTGCAGTTTAGTCTTTAATCCGTGGGGCGTGGATTATGTAATATCTTGTTTATAACAGTGATACAGTGTTTTTAAAAACTAAACTTAACTTAGTCTATTGTTTATGCACTTAACATCTTCAACTTTTATTTTTTCTGGTCATTTTAATATTAATTTTAAAGTTTTTTAATTGAGTTATATTATAGTTTTATTATTATTATTATTATTATTGAGCATTTTATTGAATATTATAAGTTTGTTGTAATACAGACAATACCTATAATAACATTTATACTTAAATTACACTTTTATCTGATAATAAAAATAAGTGGTTTATGCCATGGCTTCAACAGATCCAATGGGTCTTACCAACACCTGGGAACTTTCACTATACGAATTGCATAGATCACCCCAAGAAGTTATTACAGATGACACAGAAATTGCTGTATCTCCTCGAAGTCTACATAATGAACTAATGTGCCCAATTTGTTTGGATATGTTAAAAAAAACAATGACTACTAAAGAATGTCTCCATAGGTAACTCAGAATGCATTTAATATACATATATTGTACTTAATTATAAAAATAGTTTGAACTATGTAATTATTTGGGCTGAAGACTTTTAGTTTTTTTCATATTTGTTGAGAAAAAGTTGCAGTACAATGTGAGTGGTGTATAAATATGTTTCATAACACAATTAGATAGGTTACGCTAAAAATTTTACTTTGAATATTTTGTTGTAATTGCATATATTGCACGTTTGAGCATATTAGAAAAAAATAAGAACATAATTATAATTATTTTACAATTTTTGGGTGTTGTAAAGTTAGTTTAAACAAATAAAAATGTATTTTGACAAATGTTAAATGTTGGTCTTTGATTAATCAAAGAGCAAACAAATGTTATGTTGCTTATGTACATTTGGAAAATTAGACATTTAAAAATAAAATAGTACTCACTAATTGCACCATATTATAAAATTATAATGTCTTGTCAACTTTAGATTGACRATAATGATCAGCGCCGGACGCCCAGCGGCCTGATGACCATGTTAGTATACAGCAGGTGTAGCTGGTAGTTAAAGTAAACTTTTGAATAATTCTTACTGAATCTTTTTATAATTTTGATATAATACTAATTGTATAATTTAAGAACTGACAATCGATATACATTTTTATAAGGTATATTTTGAGTTCATATATGAACCTATAGGTACTAACCTAACCTATAGATGCTTATATTTTTTCAAGTTTAATAGTACTTGAAGTCCTCAGTCCTAGTCATTATTACATATTATACCTATTTTAATGTATAAAATATTATGATAAAAAGGAGGTGTTACCATTGGGTTTCTTCCTCATCCATCATTCATGCTACTTTATTCTGTTTTTATCTTAATTGCTTATTGTAATTATTTTGTACATATTGTAAATTGTCTTTCTTAGTAAAAAAATAAAAAAATATTATAATTAATTCATTAATGCATTTATTTTTTAGATTCTGTTCAGACTGTATTGTGACTGCTCTTCGTTCAGGTAATAAGGAATGTCCTACTTGTCGTAAGAAACTAGTATCTAAACGGTCCCTACGTCCTGATCCTAATTTTGATCTTCTCATATCTAAGATCTATCCTAACCGTGATGAATATGAAGCACATCAAACTAAAGTATTGGAAAAGTTAAACAATAGTCACAGTCAAGCTAATTTAGTTCAGTCAATAAATGAAGGTATTAAATTACAAACACAAAATCGACTACAACGTACCAAAAAGAACCAACATGAAGAACTAAATGAAAATAACTCATCAACTTCTTCAAAACCTTCAAATGTTTCTGGTCAAGATAATGTAACAAGAACTATGGTACAAACAAAAGTGGCTAAGAAGATGAAGTCTGTTATGATCTCAGAAAAAGAAGGTCCTTCTTCATCTGTTAATACCCCAGATGTAACAGAAATTGATGATACAACAAAAAGTGTATCAACAGATGAAATAGAACTAGTGTTTAAACCTCATCCTACAGAAATGTCCATTGATAATCAATTGATCAGAGTTTTGAAAGAAAACTCTGTTCGTTATATAAAAACAACAGCTAATGCAACTGGTAAGCCTTTTAAATGAAATTACTTCATCAGATAAAAAAGTATAGAATTAAATGCCCTTTTAAATATTATGTAAGATTCTTTAGTTATTGTTCAGATGTTTTTCATTCTTGGTTTTTTTTACACATAACCCAAACATTATAAAGTACTACAGCAATGAATAGGTAACTAAATTATTACAATTTTAAGATTTTCATATTATGTTTTCAAGAGGTTTAACTGTTATCAAGTTCTTGTAATCATATATAACCTAGGTGTAAATGTATTAATCAATAKTCCTGGTATAACTATTATTTATGCATAAGACATGACAAACCCAGGAAATAAAAACATAAATGGTAGTACTGAATTGTCATTTGAAATTGTATACTATTCGAAAATTGTTGTTCAATACCTTTAAATTTTAAATGTAAAGAAGTAATACCATGAATAATATCACAATTAAGTCGCAACGATTTAAAGTTAAAAGAGGATAAAAATTAGCTTCAAGATATGTATTATTTGAAATACCTAATTCAAAATATCAAAATTATGTTTTAGGGGAATAAAAAGAAATTTGAGTTGTAAGTTTTTTTATGTTACAGGGTTTTGGGTTATAGCTACTGTAAAACCAACAATACTATGTAATAAAGTAGCACAGTCAAATTTTTAAAATATTAATTACATATACATGTTTTTTTTCTAGTTGATCATTTGAGTAAGTATTTAGCTATGCGATTGACGGTAGACCTTGGCTCAGAACTTCCAGAAAAAGCTCTAAATTTTTGTATCTATGTTGCATCTACTGCTGGTCAATTTGTTTCTCTCAATGGTAATCAAACACTTAGAAATGTACATGATACATTTTGGAAAGTTAACAAGCCACTTGAAATGTTCTACTCTTTTACTTAATTTTTTTTTATTGTTAGTTTCATTAGTTTCTTATAAATAGTTATATTTGTCTATATTTTTATTTAAAAAAAAAATAATAATACCTTACATCATGTAATTTAATTGGTAATTATATCATCCTTTTTAATAAGTTCAATAATTCAAGTAAATGTAGTTTATAGTAAAAACATAATTTAAAAATAAAGAATTAAGTTATTTAAAGAAGTAAATATTCTTTAATTGGTATTTTATAGTTTGTATACTTTGATATTCAATTTTTTTTCAAATATTAACATTTATTTTTAATTAATAGCAAATATTTTATATTAATATTACTTACTATATTTGTTCTAAAATATAACAGTTATTTATGAAATTGTTAGAGATATGTATTAAATTAATTATTAAAAAGTACAATTATTGATACAGTAATCGACAACATTGGATAACTTAAAAGTAATACTTTATATTTATTGATTTGAATTCAACTAGTAGCTATTTTATTAAGTTAAACTGACCTACGCAAATTTACATGTTATATATCTAATCTTATATTTCATTTAACTAATATGCTATAGATTTAGTGAACAAATTGTAGATACATTTAAGATTTGGCGAATAAAAATTTTTTTTAACATAATTGTATTCAATTAGATGCATTTAGCATATACAATTTATCAATGTAGTTATATTTTGAATACGAAGTGTATATTTTATGAAGAGGGATATTAGAGTGGATAATGATGGATATTCCTTGGATCTAACTTATTAGCACCAACAATTATATAATATTACAGTAGCTTATAAATTATGAGTTATGCTAACATGAGATACAAAAAGAAACTTTAAACTCTAAAATTTGAAAATGTAATATAATAGGTACATTTACAGTAAGATATATAAACGATTATTTAATCATTTCAAAAATTATGAAGACTTCTATTGTGTCAATCATTAGACAATTTGTAAAGCTTTAATATAAAAGATTTTAATTTCTTGTATTGTGAAATTATATTTTCTTTTAATCAACATACAATACTAAATACTATATTATGGTAGTTCTAACATCCAAGAGTCGATGTAAAATTGAAAGTTTAAGTATATAATTGGATTAATAACATTTAAATAACTATGAATTAATGTTATTTTTATAGTGAAATTAAAAAAAGATAACAACATATGTACAGCTATTTATGCACATTTATATTTTATAGTTAGAATTTGTAAATTTTTAGTTAAAAATGTATGAAAACTATTATGTTAATATCCATAACTAATTTTTATAATTTGTATACCTGATGGTTTTATTTTAATGGAATTAAAAAAAATTTCCTTGAAAAACCATATATTATAATTTTTATGAATGATTTAATTTCAAATTGTGTTGACTTATTTAGTTGGATATTTAAACCAAAAATAATGATGATTATTCATCAAAGTATTTTAGTTTTTTTTTGCCTTAATTCAAAAAGTTTTTATTGTAGAAAGTTGAAATACACCATTGTTAGTTGTATTGTCTTTTTCTGTATTCCATGAAATTTAAAAATATATGGGCTTTAATTCTAAACTATTGCAATTGGCATTTTAAATTAGGCTCAATCAAAAAGCATTTGATATTTAAATTTTGATAACATTTGTCAAAGTCATAAATATTGCAGATTGTTTTGTAGTTAAAAATATATTAATTGTTCAATTTGTATAGACAGTGCTTTAAAATGCAATACAATGTTACTCRTAAGTAGTTTAGGTATATTGGAACAAAAAAAACCAAAAATATATTTGATTGTTTTTTTTTATAGATATTTTAAGACTTAGTTTAGACGGAATTAGTTATTTAAACAAAGAATAACGATCTTAGTTTTTTTTTTGATAATTACAAATCGGCTTAACTAACCCAACATTATATTTTGTAAAATGTTATAATTTTTTAAACTTGTAATAGCATCCTGACACATTTTACTTTATTTGTGAATACTTGAAACTCTAAATATAAGTACATTACTACATTATTATATTTTGTACACATATATAATTTTAAATGCTATTAGTTACTGGAAAAAGTTAATTCAACCTGCTGTATACTTAATAGTAAAATAAATCCTCAACAAAAACCTAACAGTGGAAAAAGGCCGAGTTCCAAACTCCCTCCCAAAACATTGTAGGCCTATCAAAGTAGGTAGTGAAATCTACATTGTGGCCAAGTCTACTATTTTTTAATTCATAACCTCACTGCACTCCTACATTAAAGACGCAACTATGCTATTCTTTTATTTGTATTATTTAACACTTAGCCAGTTTCTGAATGAGGCATAAACTAAGACTTGGCCGCAATGTTGATATCATTACTATGATTCGCTGTACATTACATAAGTAATACATTAAACCATTATATACATTACTAACAAGTTCTAGAWATTTCCCTGATTACATGGGAAAACCTGTTTTCAACAATTTAAAAAACAAGGCAAACAATTTTATAAAAAGTTTATATGAAAAAAAAATCTAATAACTTCAATGATATAATTAATAAAACCAAATAAAAATTCAATCAATAAAATTAAAAATAGTTGATGAAATTTGTGTATTAATCAAATTATAAAATTTCATTAAAAAATATATACAAAATACCTATCTTATTCTTATCTAATGTTGATTTTTATTTTGTTACTAGACTATCCATCTCAGAGGCGTACGCAGGATTTTTCAATTGGGGGGGAGGGGGCTTGAAAATTAATTACTCAACTTTACTAGTAGAAAAAATGCTCTAATCATAAACCTTGATTGGGGATTTTGGAAGCAAATTGGATTTAGTTTGAAATTTGAGAGGTCAAAATTGAAAATTCTCAGTATTTTTTAAAACAATCAGGAAAACAAAAATAAATGAAAAATTGTTAAGTAACCTTGGTTTTTTTTTTTAAATGTCAGTAAAAAATTATTCGATCGGTTAAAAAGCTTTAAAATGTAATACAAGGTTTTATTATACCTAGTTATCTAAAAATACTAACAACACATATAGGCACATTATTTTTTATAAGCATTTATAGTTCAATTTTTGACAAAACCGCAAAAATTGATTTGTAGATTAAAATTTATAAAATATTAAATTTGTATAGCTAAGGCATGAAAATTCAATACAGGTCATTCATACAAGTAGTTCATACTTTTACCAAAAAATTTCTAATTTTTTTTGGAAAATTGGTAGCAAATCAATGTTTTTTTAAAAATGAATTTATTCTGGTAAGAYGTTTATTAATTTTCCTCTTGCTTACTATAGCTGACGACAGTTGAAGTATGATACATTTTTTTTTTAAGAAATACTTATGAGGGAAATGGGGGGGCTTCAGCCCGTTAGTCCCCCCTCTGCGGACGCCACTGAATTCCATCTGCTGATCTACTATATTATACCTATAACCTATGTATGTATAATTAATTAATTTGCATATAAATTGTGTAATTGTAAAGTTCCTACCTATTTTCCTACAAAATAAATCAAAATATCCATGAATTCCGTAAACCAACTGAGCTATAAGCTCATATATCCGGTATATGGATCTATTATTAATGTAATTTATTGTTATTATATAACTGTTATTGATTTGGCTGAATAATTAAATTAATTAATTAAATAAAGTAAATAATAACTAAAATAATATTAACTAATACATTTTTAGTTAATGATATTAAAGTTAACATTTACCAGTTCTTCTTTATACTGTAGAGCATTATTTTCTGCAGTTGGTGTTAATAACTCCTCAACTACAGCAATATCTTCAGTACTTTTTACTGGCTATAGATTTAAAAAAGGCAAAGGAATTTCTGGTGTTGGCATTGCCAAGGCATAAATTCGATTATCAGCTATCATTATTTACTGCACATTGTCATCCAAACGCTGAAGGGCAGCAGTGATTCTGGTATTGGATCCATTCAGGTTCATTAATTGTGTCATAATAATATTATTATCTCTATTAGATTTTTTTTCAATAATAGATATCAATATATCAATTTTTACACAACGGCATACTGGATTATAATTATTGTAAAAAAAAAAAATGTTTTATCTGAGTAAATTAATAAAACTAAATTCTACAAAATTTGTACTTTTATGGAATTAAGATTTATTTATTTATTTAGGTAAACCAAAACCATTGTTACCCAAAATAGTATCCAAGTAAGTGTTTTAACTAGAAGGAGAAATATTTTATAAATTAATTTAATTTGTCAACATTTTTTTTTTTATCAAATATTAATAAAAGGATTTATTATTATGTTTAAATTATACAAAAAATATGTGTACCGTTTGAAGAGTAGATTTCTTTTCCACATCTTGTTGGAATGGGGGTACAGAGATATTTTTGTTTTCATCACCTATAAAATTTTCTATCAGAAAATCATGTGAACTTGAAGCTGATCCTGTTAAATAATCAAACAAATTGTTATTCGTACTTTGTTCCAAGGCTCCGATGATTAAAGTGTCATTTTGATCAGACAAATCTTCTAAATGAAATACAAAATTCAATATTAATTTACACAAAATCTTTAAATGGGCCAATCGATATAATAATGTTTTTAATTACATTTTAAAATACTTATACATTTACTCATTCAGTTCCATGAACAATCACTAAACATTTAATTGATTAAAAGTCAGTAAATGTTCCTTCAAACTTGATTACTGGTCTATAATTTATTAATTTATTATTTTAGTTTAAAAACCCCTTTCAATTAAATATGTATTTATTGATTACGGTTTTAATGCTATAAACTATTAACTTTTTTTTGCATGTCATGTGTATATATAAAATAATATTTTTGTTTTGA